CAGCTTCTCACTCTCACGCATGCCACTCCGGCGCCCCAGATTTCCCGGAGTTGCGCGTCTATTCCCGAGGTCCCTTGGGTCTAGTGAACCTGGGATTCCATTTTGGCCGCGTTGTCATGCGTTTCGTGGAAGTGGCATGCGTGAGTTCAAGCCTCACCCCTTGGTTTGCACTGGTGCCAAATAGTGCGGTGGGACTCACTCTCACTATCATTACATTTTTGTACTGCCTTGAATTGGGTCTCTTGCAGTTTGAAATCCTTCAAAAGAAAAACAAACAGAAAGGGGTCTTTTCGATTATATGAACACTAAAGATTGCTATAATGAGGTTTATGTGAGAAAATAGCTAAGTTAAACCAAACTGAACCAGTTGTGCATTATTGTTTGGAAACTTAGAAACTCTATATAGGTCTTTTTCTCTTTTAGAATTACAATGTTTCATTTTCCTTCTATTCTTTTCTCATGTAGTTTTGTCTTTAATTTCATTTTATTTCCAATGTAATTATATTAAATTAAGTAAAGTTTGAACCAAGAGCAGGCAGGCAGGCAGGCAGGCAGGCGTTACACCTACCACTTGCTCCCTGGTTGATAGCTCGCTTTCTTTCTTACCTGTACGTCCTTCCAAAAGTTCGTATCTGAAAGGAATATCTTGTAGATATATAGCAAAATAAAATAGAAGTAATGATCGTTTTTATTTTAATGCTGCCTGCCTGCCTGCCTGCCTGCCCGCCCCCTGCCTGCCTGCCTTATGATTGACATAACTGCCTTGCAGTTACGTCCATCTGCAGGGCAAATTCTCGAATTACTGAACAACTAACATTTTATTTTCATAATTTCACACCTTCAACACCCTTCCTTTCCCCTTATTACAAATTCTTATAAATGAACCCACTATTTCATTCAAAGGTTGCTATATAAATCTACTGTATGGCAATGTTACTTTCTGGTTCTTCCTGAGAACTATTATTCTTGGCAGAACAGGAAGCAACTTTTTGGTTAGCAAATTGTTTCATTCATCAAATCACTGAGTGAGGCATGGGCATGGGTTTACCAGATAATTTTTCAAGGAATCTTACTATGATTCAACCAAACAAAACTCTCCTGAAACCAACTAAACCACTATGGTTCCTGAACTCCCTTTCAGCATTAATCCTGAAGCAGAATTTTCCTTTTTGATGGCACCCCATGATGCATCCCATCCATCCCCCAAAACAATGCATTCCGTCTAGCTTTTGGTCAGTGCAGCTTCTCTCATGGGATCCATATGGAAATAACTAATTTCCAAAAATGAATGTTAACTTCCAGCGAAAGAGATATTATTTTCCAGCCTTTTAAATTTATTCATTTAGGATACATAGGTGTGCTTTGGCTTCGCATTGATAAAATTATTACCAAATTATTACCATTTACCTTCTTTAAATTTGAATCTTAGCTTATTATGTAAAATAGAGATAAATTATACTCAAAGAAATTAAGCTTGGAATGCATGTGTTTCCTTACCTACCAAGTACGTACTTACCAAGCAAGCAAATAAACATTTCATTTCCAAAAATAATACGTTCAACATTTCGACGACTTCATTTTACCGAAGTTGTTTTGAAATAGCTTCCTTACATTCCAGTTTGAAAGGCAAAATATATCCACGGAAGGTTTAGGGTGATGAAACGATCGAAAGGCTCGCCAACGACAACATCAACGCCACGCATGTGCAGACGTTTTTCATCCCTCTTGGTATCACTTATAGGGCGCTGGAATGATAATCTAACGATAAGAGTTCGAACTCCATCTGTTGCTTCCAACCGAGACCCCTTTTTTTTTCTTTTTTTTTTTTTCCTTTTTTTTTTAATTCTCCTTTTTAGATTTTAAGGCTCTTACCTTATTTCCTTTCTCAATAGACACTTCTTTGAACGAGAATCGAGATTTCATCTGTATTCAGCTGTATTTTATATCGATCCATCATGTACTTTGTTGCTTTGAAAAGTATCTGGTTTCTATTGCTTTCAAATCATGTGCTTTTCTGCTTTTTGGAAATACACTACCTACTTATCTCCTCTATATCTTTTTCATAGTACCGATATCAACGCTACTGATCCTAGGTTTCCCTTTTGCAATATTTGCATATTTTAAAGTGCATTCGCGAGCACCCGTAGGGCTTCTGTTATATAGTGAACACAAGTTAAGTCTAAAAGCAACTCGCTATTCCAATACAACACCTATCAACCCCCACTCTGCAATCCTCAAAACTCCCTTTGCCATGCTTATTTATTTGCGCATTAGACATAGACAGTTGCTTTTACACTTTCCACCTGGCCCCCGTCTTCTATCACTCCATTCTTTGAATGATACACAAGGCTTACGGACTTCCAGGCTTCATGATGCCCTTCCGTCACCAGGCGGCCCTAAATCAACCAAAACAACATCACTCCACCCTTTATTGCTTTCAAGCCGCCCGCCATTAGTAAAACTTCACTTCGCTACACTTTGGCGCTCAAATTTCACGTCACAACGGCTTTACGCGTCATCACCTACATGGTAAAGACTTGTTTCCATATCTCAAAGTGCCCTTGGACGTTAGGTGCCTGGGAATGAAATCAAATCAAAAATTAGAGCCGAACTACCAACGATTTACGACTCCGAACGTTCCCTGTTCTTGCTGTGCCCAAATTTTAAGTCTACTTCGTGTGTGTTTTGAGTCAAGAGATAACATCTGGCTTAGTAAACATCACATCCAGCATAGTTCTGTCGCTTAAGGTTTATTTCCGCAGATAAAAAAAAAATCAAAGACACTAAACCTCAAGGGCGGTTTCAGCTATGGAAACGAGTGGCTGCACCACTATTTGCTTTGTTTCCATAGCTCAAACCGCCCTTGTGCCCTTCCAAAATCGGTTTCCGCTTCCGGTCTTGAAAAAATGTTTCGCGCTCTTTTTTCAAATTCACCAGAAAAGAATAATATGAGGTCGTAGTTTCTTTAGTGGAGTATATTTGGGCAATGGCAAGCGATGCAGATGTTGCATATTATTTATTGGAAATTTTCGATGTACGTCTATTCATCAAGTCTGGCTACGTCTACAAATCTTAAAATGTCATGTGTTACATAACACTTACCTCTGAAAAAGTTCTGCCTACCGCTAGTTTATTCTGGGTTCTAAAAGCTTTTGTTTCAGTCTGTTTCTCATCGGAAATCTTGAAGTCCAAGCTACAAAAATATACTTTCTCACTAACACTAACAGCATCACTTGTGCCTATCATTTCTTTACTGACTGAAAACTCTCTCAGGAAGCCTATTTAAAAGTTTTTGAAAGTCAAATTAGAGTAGTTCTATGGTAACCGGAAGACTTAACTTAAAAAAAAGTGGAATGTTCAGCTTCCATTTTCAAAGCTCTCTTTTATTGCAGGTCTCGCATTTCCACGCCTTGTTACATTCTACAGACCAGGGTGGTATGACAAACACACTTAAGGTGCCAACAGTCATCTCATATCTAATTGGCAGAACAATAGCCTAGCATGTGCGTTTTAAAACTTTGTACATTTCTTAGCCATCCTTTGCAAAACAACAACGTGAAATCACCAAACTTTGCGTCGTCTGCGAAGCGAAACCGCAGCGGCAAATTATTCTAATTTACATTTGGAACTCAACGCTACTTTTATGCGTTATGTTGAGTTTGAGGTCTGGTGCCCTATGAGACGGTAAACACATGCAGCCATTTTCGAAATTCTAACTAAAAGTAGAAACTCATTTTTTAATCGACGTCTTCCGTGGCGTTGCCGTCCTGACTGCTTNTGAACAACTTAACAATCGTTTACACTTATATTCCACTCTATATTTGCACAGAAACCATGTCTTCTGAGATCCCAGCAAATGATAGCTGCACAGAAACAACGCCTTCCGAGAACTTGGCAAATAATGAAATACATGATGTTACTAAAATAGCTTGTAGTGACCTTACCATGCAACCAAATGTTGCAAAAGCAAATCTACTAATTTGTCTGTTGACTGATGCATCAAATCATAATTTAAAAAGAGCTGGTTACTTTGGGATGTTAGTTTGTGCTTCAAAATGGTGGAAACTGGATCTCTGCAACTGTAGAATTTCAAAAATTTAAGGGGGAGCATGCCCCCGGACCCCCCAGTAAGGCAAGGCCCTTTGGGCCTTGCAGACAGATGCCCGCCTGTGAAATCCAGATGCCCTCCTGCTCCAAATTTTAATGAAACCCCTGATGTTGGGTTAACACTTCAGGCATTCGTTCTCGTCCTTGTACTGCGGCCAGATGGACTGGAGTACGTCCAAACCCATCTCCACGTTGGGCATCGCTTCCACGTTGTAATAAAATTGCTGCAATTTGATGGTGACCATTCCCTACAGCCAAATGGAGAGGTGTCTGTCCACGGAGATCTGTAGCCTGGATATCAGCTCCACGCATTATCAAGGAGCCTACAATAGTAGCCTGTCCACTCTCTGCAGCCAAATGAAGCGCAGTTTTCAGGGAGTTGTCTCGAGCACTTATTTCGCACCTATATCGGATTAAGAGTTTCACTGATCCCTCATTTCCTTCAAGCGAAGCTAAATGAAGGGGAGTCCGTCCTAAATCGTCTCTAGCCTTCAAAGCACTACCATGTTGGATTAACATTTCAAGCATTCGTTCTCGTCCTTGTACCACGGCCAGATGAACTGGAGTACGTCCAAACACATCTCCACTTTGGGCATCGCCTCCACGTTGTAATAACATTGCTGCAATTTGTTGGTGACCATTCCATACAGCCAAGTGAAGAGGTGTCTGTTGTTGGTAAGTCTTGGCGCTGACGTTACTTCCTAGTTTGGTCAAAACATCGGCGAGATCAACGAAACCAAATTTTGCTGCTACATGAAGAGGACTTTCCATGCGGAAATTAGGAGCATCCACATTAAGCCCACACTTCAGAAGAAGTTTGGAAAACTGAGTGTATCCATTACCAACGGCCCAGTGAAGAATTTGACTCTCTGTTGAAAAACAAACAAAGAAAAGGTTTGTAACCGATAACATCACGGCAAAACTGACCAATAATTTCATACGAACTGGACTAAGAACAATCGATTCATAAGAACTATTCACTTGACTCTGATGAAGACTTCCGCTTGGGAATACATTCACCTGGGCGATTAGACTACACTATCATATTACTTACGCCCAGTTCAAACCATTTTCTGTAAACGGGTTTGCGCATGTTAAACTTGGTTGTATCTCAGAGCGCAAATATTTCCGATCACCTTGATGGCTTCCAAGTTGTAGCCTGGGCACTTGCCACAGAACGAACAGTTTAGGGTATTGTGAACGTTATAATAGTAATAGTTACTTGCAAAGTCATAATACTAATCGCACCATGCTCAACAATAACTGGACATGTCTTTGATACAAACGTCACTGTGATTCAATACGGGATTAAGTGACAATGATTCACCAAGGGAAAACAGTTTAACATTGTTTTAAACCACACCAAAAATCGCCCTTCGTATTCTTGAAGCATATTTCAATCACGAGGCCGAGCGCTACAAAGTAAATTAAAACTCAATGTTTATGAAGATTGAAGACACGTACCTCCAAGCTTGAGTCCTACTAATACTGTCACCAAAGCAGCAGTTAACAAAATGTATCTCATACGAGAGGTTGTCTTAAACCTCCGGTGGCCACGTTGTCGATGTTCTGTTATGGAGAAAGTGTTTCGATTTATTGAAAGTACTAGGACAAAAACTGTTCAGTATAACAGACAAACACCCTTATGACATTCACCATTCATCTCTCAACGAAGAATCGTAATATCGATATGTATATATAGGTTACATTGTTTACATACTGTAGTATGGGTTTAAATCAACACAAATCAACACCAGAAGTATTTCAAGTGAATGAACAACCCTGAGATAAATCCCAACCTATCATTTGACATTGTCTCAAACGTTGTTACTCTTATTGGCATTATCATTCATCGTCACTTCCACATCTCATTAATTGTCAATATAAACATCATCAAGATCATCCTCCTTGTCCTTTCACTGTTATTGTAGTTCATTTATTCACTTTAAATATCTTATCTAGCATTAAGATGAGGTGGAAATATTACTTTTTGACTTGGTCGTTTTCTCCTGACTTGAGGATTCTGATGTTGCACATTTTTGCCCAGGAACTTTGTAATCTTTCCTTTGAGTTCCTTTCTTCTGGCTCACTGATCCCATTTCTTCAGCCTGGTGGGAACACTTCTCTTGCTGCTCGGCAGATAAATCACCTTCTTTACTGGACAGCCATTGAACGAAGCCATGCAGTAGAGGCAACTTTCTGTAAACTGGGAAGTTCACCACAGAGAATTTCCCATAGATACTTGGACTCTCAATGTTGTCCTGATCACTTCCCAACTGGGTTTTATCCTCAAAAGATTCCTCTGTGGCATTTTCTTTGAGAAACCCTACAGAAATCCCAAGAGGTCTGTCATGAAGCAATGACGCAGAGTCATCATTATCAGTTTCAATTGCTGCTTTCTCGCAGTCTTCACCTTCTGTGCGAGCCCCTTTTGATATAATAAAGTGAATTGTAACTGAGTGTGGTACCATAAAAAGGAGTATTATGGCTCAACAGCCAATCAAAAGATAGGAAATATCACATGGAGCAAATGAGAACTAAGAATGTAAGTAAGCGCACTGCTTTAAGTGAGGAAAAAAATGGTGAGTAACCATGTTGCGGTTGGTTTTAAGTTTTGCATTAGACAGGCTGAGATGATGGGTTCAGTTTTCAGGACCAGTCACAGAGCAAACTTACACCATAAGCAAAATGAGCAACATCCATGTAACATCAAGACATATTATCCAGCAAACACGTAATGAGAAAAGACTACTTTATCTGATGAAAAGTGTCTTATTAAAGTACCGCTAAAACACCAAATTCTCCCAACTAATTTACATTGAAAAGTACACATGAAACAGGTGAAAGAGTTCCAGATCATATTTTTGGAAGTTGAAGGTGTTAGTGAAAGTACTTTATCCAGTGACAGAAAGCTCACTCACCACTCTTTTCTTCTAAATCAGACCAGTCGCTAATGAGTTCAAGGGAATCACAAGGAGAAGTTTCAGCATCAGCAAAGGAAACACTTTGGTTATCATCTTTAGATTGCATTCTTGATGATTCTTTTTTATCATTAGGAACTGTTGCAGAAATTGAGGAATAAATCCATGTGATATCTATTTCAACATTCATAATTTTCATGTGTTTTTAATGACCGTCAATGCAATTTTTCACCGAATAGCAAAGGAATGTAAGGGAGGCAAAGGTACAAAATCTGAGTGACTCTACAAAAATCTAACCCCAAGCCTTCAGTTTTGCACTGATGCCACACCACTAAGTTGCACAGAACTTGCAGTGAGTTAAGTGTATAGGCCATTAAAGTCCTGCATTCTGCTAGAATTGGCATTAAGTTTAATTGGTAGTTAGTGCTTAAAAGCATCCTGCATAATTCTGGGGTTCATCTATGTGTCATCTACATTAAAAGATGGTTCAACTGAGGGACTTAAGGATGGGGCTGCCATTTCTGTTGGATCTTCATCTTTTCTAAATGTCCGAGCATAAAGAAAAAGATCGATATTCAAATATCATTTTACCAAAGTGTTGGTGAATAATGGTGGATATTTAACGATCCACTCACTGAGGTTAATAATTGTTTTAGTATATATCACACAGACACCAATTAGCTCAAGAAGTACTTGCTTAATAATCCACCTCCAAACAAGCTAATCAGTGCTCGCCAAGGTTATTCCTCAAGCTTGGCTATCAGGAAACTGCTCAAATCTCAGTGCAAACTCACAGAAAACAAATTATCTCTCTTTGATGGGCAGCAATCCCATTGGTCCTGCAATTTTTCTCACTCAACCAATCTGAATTTTCATAGTACGTCAAATGTATAACAATCCATGATACATGTATCATGCTCAACTTCATCCGATAATTGCCTCATGCATATAGGATACAGCTGTTCTTCACAAGTTCCATCCTTTTTAACAGATGATTCTACTAAATGAGACCTCAAAGTTGGAGTCATCCATTAAATGAGAAGCTGACGTTAAGTACCAAAGATAAACATAAAGTCTGTGTGAAAATAGTAGCAATGGGCTGAATAAAATTAATCGACATCGATCCTCACCTTCTGAAACAGCCCATTCAGAGTCAACTTCAAAAGATCCACACGAAGAGGGCTCTACATCAGCAAAGTAATCACTCAAGTTGCTGTCCTCAAGGGATGGCATGCCCCCAAAATCTCTTTCATCTCCAGACTCAGCTGCAGAAATAAAAGATCGATGCAAAACAGTTTAGTGAGAACTTGTTGTGTTTTTGTCTTAGAGTGAATATGAGCATTGATACAGTGAACATGCATCAGAATAAGTTGTATCAGAGCAGTACCAGGTTTTCCATTGCCTAATTGTTCAACAGACAGTATGATAATTTGTGTCAGTAGAACTGATTACTGGTACTGGCAGATTTTGACCTATTATAGATAGCCATTGTGATCAGTAAGAAACTAAAAACCATGAGGAAAAATAACAATAACTTATACAATTGACCTTTCATGCATTTAAGTAACAACCATCCTTAAAAAGAATACTTACAGGGTTGTGTCTGCATTCTATCTACTGCTTGAAATAATTCAAACCAATCAATTGACTTAGACTGCACATCACTGCCATTTTCATTGGAAAACCTGCATGTTATAATTCAGAAAAAAAAAGTTATACTGATACCAATGACCATTTTCTAGTTCTTAAGATGAGTGCAAAATTATAGAAGCTGATTATTTAGAAATCAACCTCTCAATTCTCTTATCAATTTTTTTACTGCATCTGTGACCTTCCCTCAGTTACCAGTTAGAATAACTGATTTATTGTCATTATTAATAATGCACCATCCAGCTGATAAATTCCCATCATTTTTCTCATTACAATCCAACAAATATTGATATTCCCCAATTTTCAAACTTTATGTTCAATACGAAAAAATTTGCGCTTAACAGTTAGTTCAAAATGAGAAATATTGTGTAGTTGTAACAAGAAGAAACGGGTTTTTTTCTTCATAAAATCATATCAGAGAACACTGAAAAGGGAACTTCCCACACCATAAATGGTAAGCTGTTCATAGACATTTTTGCTGCATGTTGAAGAATTCTTGAGAAATAACAAACACAATAGCCTCCATTTGACACAATAACATGCTTGTATATTTGTCCTTGGACATAGGGTCTGCAGGCACTGTAGATATCTGTGAAAATTTTTGCACCAAGTAGAGGCTATTGTTATATATATTAACTGATTTTCCTTAGTTTTCTTGTCTAGCAAAAACCAGTTATGACTCTTGACAATAGTTCATCTCTATAGAACCCTCTGTGAAAAAGAGACTAATTCCACACATTCCATCACAACTTCCCTGGAGGACCCTGAAAACATCTCATCCTCACTCACTGATTTGCATGTTCAGTGGAGCGCGTAGTAAAAAAGTAGAATTAATTATCGTAATTACGAATTCGCCTCGACTACGCGCGGCGGGAAAATCAGGTCATATGACTTATAATTTGAAAGGAACAATTTATGCTGTAACATCATTCGAAGCTGGTCATCAACGGTCATAAAAACTCAAACATCAAGATAAAACATCAAGGGATCCGACTACGCAGAAACACAAATTGTAAGTTACGAAACCGTTTATCATTTCGACTAAGAATATTGTAGATAATAATGTATCCCGAAGTTATTTAATTTCAGTTGACTACGACGTAACCACGGATGTAACGAACTGTGTCTTACTCTAGTACAAATAAAACCTGACAACGTTGATCCCTGGTGGGCTAATCTTCAGAATAAGTAGCCCCTTCAACCATAGGGGCGAATCACTCACAACCCCCTTTATAGGCCTCCAGCCTTGTATCTTCACCTAGTTAATACAGGGACCTAGATGATATTGAGGTTAAGGACACCAGTTAACCTTGACAACTTATATCAAACTTAAGTTACCTTATGTTTACATCCTGTAGGTACTCAGCTAACTTGAAGTGTCCTTTGGCCCTTGCAACATCTTCTGGGAGAGGCAGTTCATTGTTGTAACTTCCAACCAAAATTTTTCCAGCTGACGTACTATAGATCATTTCTATAAACTGATGAGCAACTTCCTCAACAGCAATATAAACAAGTCTCAGAAGAACTTCAAGAGCTTGTGAATAGTTTGCTTGAATTGTAGAATCTGAAGAAGTTGACAAATAGCATTTAGATGAAAATCAACAACAGCAATCTATTTCAGGCACAAATGAAAGGAGTCACAGACCTATGCAGGTGAGTGCAAAATTAAATGCTGTATGAGGTCACTTAAGCCAATGACTTTTGCTTAAAAAATCCTGGTTTACATGTATTGGAAATGACAAACCATTCTCTTAATTGCTGTTTTGTAATTAAATAAAGAACTCATGGATCCCTTTTTAAGTTTTTTAGCCTAGACTAGCTGCATATATCTATAAACTTACCCTGAGTGAGGTTTTCTGCCACAGTGCTGTTGTTTTCACTCATTCCACCATCCTGGGAGTACATCATGTGAAAAAATGTTTTCTGCATGGAAGGATCTTTAACAAGCTTACTGAACCCTCTTAACAAGCTTGGCATCAAGTCAGAATTTTCAGAAAAGCTTTTTGGATTTTCAATGAGTGTCTCCATTGCTTCACGTCCTTCATCCACAAACACAAAGATGGTTTCTCCCAGGAACTCATTAGTTTCAGTTGTCACTCTCAAGACAACAGCACCCGGCTTTTTAGCAGCTAAAATATAATTGACACCCAAGACAAAATCAAAGTGCTAAAAATTAGGACACAATATTCACATATACAAATTTTTTGTTCATATGAGTTTATGAACAGAAAAATATGTTGATCCTTCTTCTTTAAAATGCCCTGACTCTTGTTTTGAATTAAATTCAAACAAAAACTCAAATTAGATATTAATAAATTGGATTGAAAATTGGGATCATGGGAATTTATCACCAGATATTCCCCAGTTTAAGGTGTAGTACGTCCTCACATGATGTATTTGTGGAGTTATCTTTCAAAACCTGCATTTAATAAATCACATATTAAATTATATATTCTTCCTATGATTTAAGTGTAAGGCTAACTAAACATCAATTCTTAGTCTGTTTGCTTTTATTGGCTTAAGAGAGTTGCAAATCAAAGCAGTCCCTTAATTTTAGTTCAAATTATTATTAGAAAAGCTAGAAATTAAGAACAATTATAAAATGCCATTGACAAAATTTGTAATTTATAAGAATTCAAACACTTTAATTAGCAAATCTTGTAACAGTATTATGGTGGATTAATAGTTTCCAAGTTATCATCACTGCCCGGAAAACTTACCTGGCACAGTTAACTTGATGGTTTTGCTATTAATCTTTTCCCACTGTATGCTGACACCAACTTGAACAAATTCACATATGCCTGATTTTACACCTCTTGGCAACTTCCTCCCCAATGTTATTAGTACAGAAATTCCACCCTATGCGCAAAACAGTAAAGAAGAAAACATAAACTCAACAACGTGACAAAAATTGGTTATTCAGCTAGCAATTTACAGAGCAATGTTTGACAATTAAATAGAGTTTGGCCTTCTTACTAAGCTAACCAGTTAAAGCAATTAATAAGCCTTTTAACTTCAGTTCAGCCCAGCTTAAGTGCTATAAGTCTTGTGCTTGTGGATCTTAACCACCCTTGAGAACAGTATAAGAAGGTTTTCTGCACACATAGTTTCCTTAAAGTGAACCTAATACTTACTTAATAGGTACTCAGCTAACTTATGGCCTTATTTTTTAAAAATAAATTAAATTTAATACAATTGCTCAGGTGTTTAAAGTGTTAAGTGCACTCTGATTGGCTGAGGAATATTGCATCATGTATCTTGCTATAATCACCTTGCACATTAAGTTTTAATAAGTGGCACTTAGAAGAATTGATTCTGGTTCAGTCAGCATATCCTTGATATAACGTTTGATGTTTTTAATTAAAACATGATGCATTATCAAACCAACAACTTTATACATTGTACCTTTGTAGGGCCAGATGAGGGGCAAATAGTTTCCACCCCTACAATAACAGAAAATAAAATGTTTGATCTAGTTAAAATCATTATAATAGATAAGTACATATTATTCATTCTTGAAAATGAAAGATATAGAACAAAAGTACATAGTTTGTAATATCATCATATGGTTGTCAAAACCACTTTGCATCATGCTCCAAAATTTGATTAAAACAATTTTCTTTCTCATTTTTTCTACAAAGCATTTTGGGGTGTTACGAAAACGAAGACCCTGTAAACAGAAAACCATAGAAATTACAACTTGAACACACATTAAACAGCAACAACGCTTAGTAATATAATACATTACACTTCACGCGTTTCTTCCCATTATTATCCATATTATTATATGGCCCATCTTGTCTGTTCTGTTTCGCTATGTGAGCCAACTTCGTGTTGATATTCTCGAGGGTTTCCTCGGGTAAACTTACAACACATATTATTATTCTGGAACAGCAGGCAGAATTCAAACACTAGCCGCCTTTGATTTATAGTTAGCATTGCGTGACAGAATAACAGAGAAGGCGTTCTGTACAGGAAAAATTACTCTTGGTTTCTGTCAATAAATAATCAATTTCTACTGTATTTCGTAGCTAAAATAGATACTGACGGTTGTTCAGCTTTCTCTGCTGGAAAATTCTCATTAAAAGGTAAGCAATTCTTTTGGCTAATGCAGGGTCTTCGTTTTCGTACTACAAAAACAAAAACCAAGACCCAGGTCTTCGTTTTCATACTACGAAAACAAAGACCCTTTATTGAAAGCAGAAAATCCTTTGAAAGTACGACAGACTCACTGTAGACGTGCCCTGACCACTAGTAATTGTTATTTCAGCTTTTGATATGCTAAGACAGTTCGTGCGTGGTTTTTCTTGTTCTTTCTTCAGCCACCACTGCTTTTGGCCCTTCGAGTTGTTTTTCTACACAATGATTCCAAATTTGGAACAGACATCCCCATTGAAAGAGTGATTGGAATATTTTAGGGCCTTAAGCTTACTAAGGTTAAGCAGGCTTTTAAGCTAAAGAGAGGGTCTTCATTTTCGTACTATGAAAACGAAGACCCTGCATTAGCCAAAAGAATTGCTTACTTTTTAACGAGAATTTTCCAGCAGAGAAAGCTTAACGACTGTCAGAATCTATTTTAGTACGAAATACAGTAGAAATCGATTATTTATTGACAGAACACAAGAGTCATTTTTCCTGTACAGAACACGTTCTCTGTTATTCTGTCACACAATGCTAACTATAAATCAAAGGCAGCTGAGGTTGGAAGTCTGCCTGCTGTTACAGATTAATAATATGTGTGGTAAGTTTACCTGAGGAAACCCTCGAGAATATCAACACCAAATTGGCTTGCTAGCGAAACAGAACACTGCCAGGATGGGCCGTATAATAATACGGGCACTATAATAATACGGGCAGTATAATAATGGGAAGAAACGCCTGAAATGTAATGTATTATATATTACTAAGCGTTGTTACTGTTTAATGTGCGTTTAACTTGTAATTTATACGGTTTTCTGTTTACAGGGTCTTTGTTTTTGTACTATGAAAACAAAGACCGGGGTCTTCATTTTCGTACCACGAAAACAAAGACCGGGTCTTAGGTCTTCGTTTTCAAGGGTCTTCGTTTTCGTAACACCCAAGCATTTTGTTATGATCGGGCAATCACTGGCTCCTAAGATCAGACTGGCTTTTTAGCTGGTTGAATTAATCCAAAATTGTCAGCATAGCAATCATTCTTTAACTTTTTAAAGCTGTCCAATTAAAAGTAAATTTTGATGGTTTCAATCCATTTAAATTAATCCTTAATTGGAATTAAAGAATAATAGCTTAACTAAGCAAAGTGCCCATGCAATTACAACTCTACTGTCCATTGGCAGCTGCTATGTTATAAATTTATAAGTAAGAGGACTTCATATATGCATGCCAATGTCCAATTTTGGAGATAATTGGATTCAAAACATTTATGTGACAGCTTAATTGGACTTATTGGCCATACAGCCTCATCCAATTTTGGCTCTCCTCTGATCATCTTTTCATCTGATCATTTCCAAATTAGACAGCATGTACTGGATATATATTACCCATACAAATTTCAATTAAACTAGCAGTCCTTAAATTTAGTAATTGTTCTTGGATTGATTGAGATTTTATAAATCAACTTTCTACTCATGCAGTTTCCGTCTGGAAGTAATTTACAGTAAAAACATCTCATCCCCCACCCATGCAACTCCCAAGTGACTTATAACGTAACCAAAGTAAAGCGCGTGTTCTGATTGGTCAATTTAGCGTCCCCATTTGCCCATGGGTGTACGCTGCTGACGTGAGCAAATGCAAAGACTATTTTTCCATGCGCGCTTGTTTATTCTGGCCATGTAAGATTTGTTAAATAAAAGGGAACTCTTTAGCTACAATATTGTATCAATGTTATGTTGTAAAACAAATGGTAAACACCACAGCATACACTATTGAGTTATGGATGCACTTGGGAGGTTTGCTAAGCACTCAAGAAGCTAGAGTCGCTCTCGGCTATCGCCTCGAGCGACTCTTACGCTTCTTTCGTGCTTAGCAACCTCCCGCGTGCATCCATAACTCAATAGTGTACGCTGTGGTGTTTACCATTTGTTAA